TGCGCCAGAGTTCGTGCAGCATGAACATTTCTTACTTGACCCTCGCAACTTGATCTCCACCTCACCGATTTAAACCAAAAACCAAACCTTGGCGCGGGACAGCTCAATTTGCCTAAGGTCACACAACCAGGGAGCCAGAGAGAATCCTCTCACCTGGGTTGAGACACCCAAACCTGCTACCGCATCACTTCTTTGACTGTGGTTTTGGTGGAATCGCTGCAGGGCACAGGTGGGAAGCGACCCCAGGATGGCAGCCCCCAGGCTGGGGACACAATCGTAGTAACAAAGGACTGCTCATCTGACTTTCCTCCTCTGGGGTTTTGGGACCTCCAATTCTGTTTCTCTGCCAGTGGTTCTAGGAGGCTCTGCCAGGTCCCGCACTCTGGCGGCTGTTTGCTCAATGAATAGATGGGCAGTCACCCCCCTGCTCCCGGGCCACCAAGTCTGCTGTTGATGGAGCTAAAATCAATGTGGATGTGGATGTGGATGTGGATGTGAAGCTGCTCATTGTTCGTGCCTCTGCCCCCCCTCAGCCAGAGTACACTCTCTATTGGCCTGGAGGATTCCTTGTCTGTGGGTTACTCTCTCTGCCTTTATTGATCTAGCTCTTCCGTGCCTCGCTCGCTGCTTGGTGAAAGTTTCAGCACTGCCTTTTCTTTCCCTGTGGATTCTGACACAAGTCCTTGAAGCTGAACTTGTTCATCAGAGTCTCTGAGGATTCTGATTCCGTATGTGCAGGGTGGGCCTGGGAATGTGGATTTCTAAGAGGCTCCCAGGACACCGCACTGCGATAACACCACAAATCTAGCCCAGTCGCAGCCATCCTGACTTGCAAGGGATTGAGGGGCGATCCAGGATGTGGGACTTCCACTTTTAAGACCGGGGTGATTTGGTGACCCTATCTCCAGGTGATTATTAACTGGGCCAGAGGCTATTGAACATTAGACACGGTTAAACATTCATAAGCAGATGTCCTGTCCTTAGTTAGCATTTAAGTCTGTCTTTCTATAGCATGAAAATTTTTCTTTAAAAAAATATGCTTTACACAATTGATGTCTGTATGGATTGTGATAAGAGTTGTATGAGCCCCCAATAAAATGATTTTTTTTTAAAAGAAAAAATAGGTATGTATTTTTGATACCAAATAGTCTACTGAGTCCCTGAAGCAGTTAAACTGAATTTGGCTGTATTCTGGGTTGCAAGTAGGTTTTCTTTTGGTGCTGCCAGTGTCCTGTCATTTGTGGTTAATGCTATCATATCGTGGTCAGATACATATGGCCTCTAAGATTTCTTCTCTTTTGAAACTTGTTGAAAAAATATTTTATGGCCTGGTTTACAATAAAATTTTGAAATATCCCTTGGTGGGTTCATCATTAAGTGGTAAGGAGAGGTTGGGCTCCTTTCTGTGCTACTTTATGTTAGTGTGTGTGTGTGTGTGTGTGTGTGTGTGTGTGTGTGTGTGTGTGTTCAAGCAAAGATGGTTAAACATGTTTAGAAATCCCTTGCTCTCTGTTGGCTTCATGCCTGCAGCTGCCTGAAGGCTAAACCTGTATTACCTGAGTAGTAATAGGGCCGATACTAAGATGAAATTCCAGCTGGAAAGTTCTGCTTACCAGACTGCTTCTGAAATTACAGAGACACTGTGACTCTAACCACATCCCACATAGCTGCCAGGGGAACGTCTTGTTTGATCATGGGTCTTATGTTGCCATCTGGTAGATTTGAGGGACTTGGGACTTTGAGCCCCAGACATTTCTGCTGTTTATCTGAATAATGGAGACCTGCTCATCCTGATGGGGCCTGGCTAGTCTCTCTCTCTTTTTTTAAAAAAAGATCATTTTATTGGGGGCTCTTACAACTCTTGTTTCAATCCATACATCAATTATATCAGACAGATTTGTGCATATATTGCCATTGCTCTTTTCTAGACATTTGCTTTCCATTCAGCCCTTGGGATTAGCTCCTCTCCACCCCCACCTTGTGGCCCCTTGATAGATTATAGATTGTTGTTATTTTCTTCTCCCTTCTCCTCTGGTTTCTGTTGTCCATCTCCCTGGAGGGGTGTGCGTGGTTATGTCTTGGCTGTTCTCTTATTGTCATCTTAAATATATTCCTTTCTGCCCTAAAGGGAAAGTACAATAGGCAGATGACTTCCTCTCTCACTTCCAGTGGCTTTGGGGTTGTAGTAAACATTTTTGTTCATCTAGTTTGCCAACAAGAGTAAATGGAGTGTTTCTGTGGTGCCAGGGCCTTGATAAATGTGACGCAATCCTGGTCCTTGAGAAGTTCATTATCAATTCTAGCGCAGAAGATAATCCTGGAATAAAATATAAGGACAAATTTATGTGACTGATATGGAAATGTTCCAATGTACGTGGAGCTCAGAGGAAGATGAATTTGGTGTTCCATAAGAATGGAAAAGTGGGATAAACAATCTGGAGGAGAAAGCAATGGGACCAAGAGTTCCAGGGTGACACCGGAGAGGGGGAGGTGGGGGGAAAGGAAGTGGGTGTTAACAAACCCAGGGACAAGGGAACAAGAGGTGATCTAAAATCGATGGCAAGGAGGGTGTAGAAGTCCTCTTAGGGCTTGATCAAGGGCAATGTAACCGAGAGGAATTACTGAAACCCAAATGAAGGCTGAACATGATAGTGGAACAAGAGGAAAGTAAAAGGAAA